TCTTTAAGTAATTTTTTAATCTTTTTGAATGACATAAGAGTATATTAAGATTTTCTTTCTTTGAAATTTATGTCTTTAGTAGACCAATCTATATCCACCTAAAAGACAAGATTGGTAAGGATAGAATATATATTCTTATCAATTCATCTATTATTTATTTATTTATTTATTTTTCAAAAAATCTATTATTTAATGAGACAATATGATTTATTTTGATTTTTTTTAATATATAAAGTAGATATTTTAAAATTTCATATTTCTAATGAGGCATATAATTTTTTTAATTGATAAAATAGATTCTTTTAGATAGTAGAAATTATTTGAACATGATGAAATGTTTAAACTACAAATTATCTTATTTAAATAAAGAATTATTAAATATATAAAAAATTTATTATAAATATATTTAATATTTTAAAAAATATAAATATTTTTTTAAAATACTATTATTTGTGATTTGTAGAATATTAAAATAATAATATAAGACTTTTAGAAGTTTATATTATTCTTGTTTAACCAAGAAATAATTATTTGAACAAGATTTTTGAAATATTACAATCAAAAATACTTATTTCTTTTAAATCATTTACTAGTAATATTTTTTATTCAATAAACTCTTCTATCTTATCACAATACATGCTATAAACTTAATATAAAATATTTAGAAGAAAAAAATTTAAAGCTTTAACATAGTAATTATAAAAAAACTTTGGTTCTTCTAACTTTGGTATAATTAAATTTTAAAATAAAATCTAGATTCATTAAAATAATACAAAAGAATACAAATATAAGAGATTACTACAAGAAATCTACATAAAATTATACACAAATCTTAAAAACTATCTGATTTAATATGAATTGTAGCACCAATAAGATTAGCTAGCTTTAATCAATGAAAAATAGATAGAAATTATAAAGAAGTATATTTTAAGTAGACAACTTAAAATAATTATCAAGGTCTTGAATTTAGAATTCTTTAAAAAGCTAATATACTTTTATATCATTGAAAAAGAAAAAGAAAAAAATAGATTGTAAAAATAAGATAAATATAAGATAAAAAAAATATTAAAATGACTATTGTTTAATAAAAAGAAGCTAAATAGTCTTGTATCAAGATTAAAATATAAGAATGGCATTGTCCTATTCATTTATTTAATATAAAAAAAATTACATTTTTCTTCCTTTTATAGATAAGTTTTAAACATATAATTAATTTGTTTTCTAAATTGATGAAGTCAAAGATTTGTCAAATGTTGTCAACAAAAAATTCTAATCATTATTCTACAAAAAAATAGTGACTAAGTTCTTAATACATGAATAATATCTTATAGCAAGGCAAAATGACCGTCTAATTATTTAATAATTTTTGAGGTCTTCATAATTACATTCAAAAACCACATTTTGAATGTGACCAAATATAACATCTACCTTTATTAGTATTACTTAGCATCAAAAATCTCTTCCAAGATCATAGTATGATATACATTATATTTCACCATTTATTTTAAAAAGCATATGTTTCTATTAAAATTCTTTATTTTAATTTTAACATTATATAAGTTAAGATAAATTAAGTATTTTATTTATAATTATTAAAATTACAACTCTTATAATAAGAGTACTAGTTGTTGATTCTCTAACTTGCAAAAAGTTAAGACTATTTTTCTTCAAACTTACTCTTCTTCATTATATGCCAATGGTTGATTATTGTCATTTTTTTGTGAATGGTTGATTATTGGTTTTAATAGATTTATAATATTCTTAAATGGCTTACATATGTGTTTGCTTATATCATATCCATGCTAATATACAAGATATTCTAACTTATTTTGGTGCTACCTTAAATCCAAGACTTTATTAAATTTATACTTTTGGTTGTTATTTGTTTTATTAAGAAGTAATAGTACTTGTTTTTTTATTAGCATATTAACTATAAAATAAGGCAAAATAAGTGACATATAAAATAGAAGATGAATTTTTTTAAACTTAGATAAATTTAATCAATATGAAATTAAATAAATATATTTTTGAATAATGGTTTGAGTAAATCTTTAAAATCTAACTTGTTATAAAGTCAATTATTCTTCATATTATAATAAATTAATCACATCTCATGACTAAATTTAAATATAATATAATTTTATTTTTTATTTTTATCTTTTTATAGATATATATTATTATATTTTATTATCCATAGGTTTTTAAAAATTATATCTTAATTATTATATAAAGTTCTTTTATACTACTTTTTAAATCTTTTCTTATTACATCTAAAAACTTTTAAAGTTAAAAATATAAAATTGTAGATAGTAATCATAATTAAAAAAATAAAATGATATTTTTTGTGTATATTAATGTAACATATTATTATTTGAAAACTTTACTAATAGCAAAAGAGTTGTCTAACTGTCTTGATAATAGTTGGTACCATATTACAATTTTTTTCTAATACTTGATTTATATATTATATTTGTCTATTATTTTAATAATAAATAACTAAAAAGAATTTAATGTAAACCTTTAACATATTAAGAAGTATGCTCTAAAATCTTAAAGTAAATTATAGTCTTTTTTTGGATATAATATTAATAAAAAAAATTAAACTATCAAAGAAAAATTTAGATATTTCTTCTCTAGTAATAATTTCTATACAAGGTACAAAATGTGCTATTTTAATTAGATGATACATCATTAAAAAATAAATTTGTAAATTTTTTTGATATAAAGATATTTAATAAAGTCTTTTAAAATAATGATTAAGATTGATTTAAAATAAGTAGAAGTGAATATATATATATATATATATATATATATATGATTAATAATGTAGAATCTTTGCTTAAGAATAAGTGTCTCAAGATTCAACAAATATTGCAACAACTTTTCACGTTTAATGTCACTACAAATTTCTTGAACCAAGCTCTAAAGTTTTTATATATTTAATATATCATATTGTAGGAAAGTTATGTTATGCTTGAAATACATATAATTTTATTTTACCTTCTAGATTATGTAAATATCCTTTCTAATAGAAGAAATTTTTCTTAAAATCATAAAGTTTATTTTTAAAATTTAAATTAAGATGGTCTACTAACAAACTTGAATAAATAACATTTTAAGGTTCAAATGATATGGAAACTTATATTTCTTAAGAAAATATAAGTAAATAGAAGTAGGTCAAAAAAGCTTAGTAAATAAATTTGAAGAAGTTTTTAAAATATGAATTAAGCCTTTAGAATTATATGAATATGCCATTAGACCAATAAAGCTTATTTTAAAAATTTCTTTAAGAAACTTTAAGAAACTTCAATAGGACCTTCTTCACAAGTGTTATGTAAAGAAACAAGAATGGTTCTTATATAAATCTCTCTTTTTAAAATATTTGGCACTTTCAGATTTTTACATCTAATTTAGATAAAAATTTAATTTCAAAAAATAAATATGTATTTAAATGTTTTTAATTTATTAATTTATTAATTTATTAATTTATTAATTTATTAATTTATTAATTTATTAATTTATTAATTTATTAATTTATTAATTTATTAATTTATTAATTTGATCACTTGATTGTTAATACATTTAGATAATCATAAAGATAAGATATCGAGTATAGAACAATATTTATTGACCACAAAAGAATTGTGCAAGAAAGAAATGAAGGCATTTTGTTTTGTTAGAATGTATAGAATAGGCAAGATCACAAAAATAAATAAGTAAATAAATAAAATTCCATTTGAGATGAAACAAAGCACAAGTGTGATGTATCATGTTTTTATTGAAAGTGTTCTAAGTAAGTATAATGGTTATTTTTAAAATTCCAAAGTATTAAAATAATTCAATATTTAATCAAATACAAGAATTTAGAAGGAATATAAGAGGTATTAAAAACATCATTGATAAACAAAAAATTCATGTTGGTCCTACATGATGTAAATAAAAATAATCAAATTAATAATATTATGTCTATTGATATTATATATTCCAATAAAAGAAGCATATTAATTTTCATAACATAATATTATTTTTTATTTATTCTTGTAAAAATAATATTAAATTTTGTAAAGATTTTATTAGAGATTTTGATTGGATTGTAAAATCTCATAATAGATAATATTTATATTTAAAAGTCATGGACTAATTTTGAGGAGGAGATAAGAAGTTGAGATGTTGGAAACAAGATTTACAAAGGGTAAAAAGAAGAAAAGATTCGGAAATATTGGTATCTTTATTAAAACATGCTTAAAAATTAAATGACTTATTTTATTTTTATTTGATATTTTTAATTGGATGATGAATTAAAGGTTTTATATCTTAAAACTTTTAAAGAATACTTTTGGAAAATATTTAATAAATTAATTTTTTTAAATATTAAAATTTTAAATATTTTGAAAAAAACTTAATAATATTGTTAAATGAATTGACAAACCTTTCTTATTTGAAAGAACTTTATATGGGAGGTTGCACAAGCTTGAGTAATTTATCAAATGAACAAACAAATCTTGCATCTTTAAAAATATTTAAAATATAGTTATAAAAAATTTATATAAATTTGCAAAAAATTCCATAAAATGGGAATAAAGACATGGAGAAGGGGGGAGGTGTGTAACGATGGTTTTGATAGATAGGTTGATTTAGTAAAAGCAAGACTCAATTAACATTCCCCTTGATATAGTGTGCAAATACAATTGCTTTTAGGGTATCGATAAAGTAATCTTGATTACTAGATTTTTGCATTGGAATCAACATTTGTACTTAATTCCAACACAAGAACATTGTTTGGGATACTTTTTGATGAGTACAACATTGTCAATGCAACAAGATACTGCTACCGCAGAGTACAAGAATGGGGCAATTGATGTCCAGGTATTGTGCCCCTCAATCTAGGAAAACTGGGTCGGCTGTGACGACTGAGAACCTGTAATACCCGGTTTAGCGGATATTAGGGCAGGTTTCGGAGAAGCGAGGTGGAAACGGAGCCCGTCGGTTTGCAAGGCGCGGCAGAGTGGCGGAGGAGACAAGTGTGAGGTAGCGAGGAGCATGGAGGGATTCGTTGTCGGAGCCGGGAATGCAACCCACCAAGATGCGCTTGTGCGTCACTCCTCACGTTCCAAACCTCAATTTCTGCGCTGATAGAAATTTTCTTCTCAGACCCAACTCACGGAACAGCTTTGTTGTTACTGCACGGGCGCGCGATAGAGTGAAGCGAATTGGGAGGGGAAGGATGGCTCCGAGGGCGATAGGTACGGGGAAACGCACGAAGAACGACGACGAGGTGGCGGAAGAAGCCTTGCGTCTTCTCAACGAAGCCAACAACCTTCCCCGCCTGGTTGTCTTCGATTTGGACTACTCTCTTTGGCCCTTTTGGTGGTACGTCAGACTCTACCGCTACGTTCTAGAATTTGAGAATTTGACAGATTCTGCGTTGTTATTTCATAATAAGATGTGTGCTTTCTTTCTCGTGTTGAATTTCCAGAATTTTGTTGCCTTGCCAATTGTTCGTCAATTAGCAGAGCTTGGAGATAGTAATTCGTCGCAGTCGAGCTTGATGTGCCATTTTTAGAGAGATACTGAGAAATGTCTCTGAATCTGGTGATCGTGGCTGCGATGATTGGTCTCTGTGAGGCTTCGTTTTCAAAATTGACTCATCTCTCTCTCTCTCTCTCGCTCTCGCTATCTGTCTCATTCTTTCAGTGAGTAAATAATTAAGCTAGTAAACATTGGTTGAGAAGACGACGTACCAAAAGTCTGGGTGTGAATTTAGGGTTGTGCTTCAGTCACACCCTTCTCACTCCTCGACGAATCGTCTTGGATTCTTGTCGAAATCATATAGTAGTTTTAGATTCTTTTGCATTCTTATCCCAGCGGTATCCTAGACCTATCTCATGCTCCATGTTGATACACACTGATGCTGTTGTACCAGCTTAGGTTTTGAAGTGTTGCACTGTAGCTGTCTGCAATCTCATCGTTAGTGTGTCATGGGGGTGTGTATATTTGTTTCATGGTGCAGATGGGACATGTTACATTATGTGGTTGTTTGCTCTGTGCTGCAGCGAGTGTCGCTCGTCTAAGGAGAATCCATCTCTTTATCCTGAAGCGACAGGGGTGCTCAATGCCCTTAGACGGAAGGGTGTCACAATGGCTGTTGCATCTAGGACTCCAACTCCGGACATAGCCCGAACCTTCCTCAAAAAATTAAACATCACGGATTACTTTGTAAATATGGTGAGAGCGAGGCACTTGTTTAGGTGCTCTTTCACATGTCTGGGTGCTGTCATGTGTTGGTGTGATTCGCCTTGGCTTCTGAAATGATGATTTTGTGATGGACCCTCAGCGTGTCCGCAGTAAGCATGAGTAATAATAGTATATTTTCATCTATCCACTAAGTGATGTCTGGATTGGCGGCTAATGCTCAATTCTTCACCGGGTCTTTTTTCAGCAAATTTATCCAAGTTGGACTCACAAGGTGGAGCACTTCCAAAAAATTCTCCAGAGTACAGAAGTTCCTTACAAAGATATGTTATTTTTTGATGACGAGGATCGCAACATTCTTTCGGTGCGTTCTCCATCTTTTTACCCTCTGTTGATTAAAGCAAGGACGAAATAAACTTTTATTCCCTTGTATGTTGTTTGAGGGGTGCACGTTGCAGCGACAATACTTTTCGAGCGAGATTATTTTGCATTCGCAGGTGCTTTTGTTGTGGATTTCGCGAACTGCTCTGTACATTACTAACCTCCATCCTTTTGAAAGGAAACAAGACCTGACTCCGAATCATCATTTAATTACAGGTCTCTCAATTGGGCGTAACAAGTATACTGGTAAACGATGGCGTGAATTTGAAAGCTCTTGCTCAGGGTCTTCAGAAACACGCTCGTCCAATTGCTTCGTCTTGATGTTATTGTGCTGCATTCCAAGCATACTGGACCTACTGGATGGCTTGACAAACTCCCCCATCTGCACGTATGGTCTTGTCAGCATGAGTGGGCCACAGTAGACAGACAACGTTTAAGAGATTTTGTTTCATTTACTTGTGTATTGTCACTGACATGTAATCGAACACAGGGTACCCAATTCTTAGTTATATTTAATATAATAATCTGTAGGTTGGTTGATGAGCGAAGGACGTAAGAAGTTATTTGGCGTCAGTATTCTCATTTTGCCAAGAGTTGCTAATTTTAGTGATCCTAAATTGAACCGTTAGCCAAATTGGCGACACTAGAATAACAATAAAGCATTAAAATGATACATGGACAATTTGTTAAACGAAAAAGTTAGGAATAATTTCCATGGGGCTTTCTTGATTGGGGATGTTTCGACGGGGGATGAGTGTCGTAGAGATGCCTGTCAGGGACATGTTACTCTCCCTTGAGACGTTTCCTTGGCATATTATTCTATCTGGGACGTTCTTCTCTGAACATATAGAAAGTCTAGGCGAGAATGCTTCGATGTAGACGTATTGAGGTGAGCTTCACGTCCCGAAAACATAGTGGGACATGAGATAAATTTACTCGCTTGTATCAGTTGCCTTGAGTATTTGTAAAAGTAAAAAGGATACTGTTGAGATATAGAAGCTTTGTTCCAGAAACTAGTTTCCATTTTCGCTTGTGAATCTCAGGTTCAGTGGCGGGACCAACGGTGAGGGGGATTTGAGGGGGTAACGGTTGATGAGCGAAGTATGGTGCTTATTGCACGAGCCTTTTTCCTTTCCGGATTAGACTATATACGTTACACCCGGTGATAGGAAAGCGCTTGTTGGCCATCGGTATGTCTTTCTTCAACTAAACAGCCACAGTGGATGCCGACAACGACATCGACAGCGAATTGTCAAGTATGTAATGGGGACTGAAAGCCACTGCAGGAGAGCTTTTTGGGGACTCCAAATTTCATGTTTTGGTCAGTATGACTATATATCACTGGAAGTGTGAGTCTGAGGAAATTGGGGAAGGAGAGTTCAGCTTTTGTCGAGTTCGTGATTGGTTTGGTTCAGCGAAGTGTTGCATACTTGTGGGCTTTGCTAATGTTCGCATTAAGATTTAGAAGTATTGCGCTGTGGGATGAGCTATGTGCGTTTTCAATGGAGATGTTTGTGAGGCCATGGCGATTTCCATCATGCAGTTGAGCATCTTCTTCACTTCGCTTTCTGGACAGTGGATTGCTTTAACTCTAGCTGACATCATCGTAATAAGCCTCTTGTCCTACAACACCACAAACAACAAATAAACAAACAAGAAAATTACCTAACTAACGAACTTAGTTATCTCATGTAATGGTTTTTGTATAAGGTACAAAGTGGTCGATTTCGGTGAAATAATCCACCAGCATTACACAAAATCATAAGAGTTTGAAGTTAGAGAAATTTTTTGACAAAGAATATGGATACAAATGATTGTAGTTGCTGTAAAATTATTTATTGGTTGAAAACAAGTTTAATGTCAGTAATAAGGAGTCTTTGTTCCAGAGTAAAGTATTTGGAATTGTACAAATTTTTTGATTGCTTTCTAGATTTAAGACTACTAGGAGTCTTCAAAATGATCTCCAAAGTTTTGTTTAATGTCATGTTTGTAGAAATTTAATTTGAACCAAAAATGTTCATAGCTATCCTTGATATTCCAAGATATGAACACATTTCTTCAAAAATAAGTCTCAAATCTACTCAAATCATTTCATTTTATTTAGATTTACTTCAAAAAAGAGGAGATTTAATAACATATTTTTATAATATGACATGATTCTATTTGTGATAGCAATTTATTTAATACAAAATTGACAAGGAATTTTGTTTATTATCTTCTTGTTTTTTAATGTTTGTAGAAAAAAATATTACTAAAAATATTGATTAAAGCAATAACTTTTAGAAATCATAATAAAATTTTAACAGTAATAGAAATTCTAAATAATATTAGATATTTTATATGAACTTAAAAATTATCTAATCTTCAATAATTTGACTACTTGTTGGATTTATTCTAAATTTATTATTTAAAATAATTAATTCTAAAAGCTCTATTAGTATTGTGTTATATATATATATATATATATATATATATATAATCAAGTAATCTTACATTTAAAAAATTTTAATATACAACAAATAAATTTTTAATGTTATTTATATTCTTAGAGTAGATACAAAAATTCTTCAAATGATACTTATTATGCCATAATAATTTTATTAAATACTAAAAAAACGAAACAAAAAAAATAAAAATAAAAAAATAAGAAATAAATATATGATAAAAAAGAAATACAATGACTCTTCTTTTTAGATTCAAATGCTTTTATAAGATCTAGTTCTTATTACAAGATCTTTGTTTATAAATAATATAGATTTAGCACAATAAGTTCGTCTTTAAAAATAAAATATATAGTACACTCTACATTAGAATCATGGTTTGTTAGGATCATCTTAAATATGAATAAATATTTTGGAAATTTGTCCAAAAAAAACTAACAAAGCACCTACAACTTGATACCTCTCTACTTAAGAGATGGAATAATTCATAGATGGATAAATACATACTTAATTCTAGATGTGCCAAACTAATCAACTAAAACTCTATATTATCTCAATGTGGCATGAACATACACATAAATATAGACAAGCTTGTTTTAGTAATTGCTCTAAATTCGTATTACTCCTACCTTTGCCTTATGATATAAGGAATTAAGTGGTCAGTTGTAATTTTTATAGTTTATGAATATATTGGATATATTCTATTAATATGAAATTTTTTAAAAAATAATAATAAAAAATAAAAAAAAATGAAAGGCCTAATAAAAAGAAATTAGATTTTTGAACTAAGATTAAAATATATAGAAGTTATTGATAAGAATAAGAATATTTTACTTTGTGCCTTTAAATATATTAACTACCATAAAGGCATTGTAGAAATTTCTTAAGAACTACAAGACTTATAGCCCAAACTTCAAGTTGTAGGAAGCTTCTAATGTAACTTTTTAAAATTAGAAACCTTAAAGGATAAGTTTTAATAGCTACATGACATTTCTACAAGAATTTAAATATTTAATCCATGTCTATAAGACCTGTTTAAAGATTTTTATAGAAGATATTATCTACTTAATATTTTTCTACATACTTTTTCTTATTTCTATTTATCTAAGTCATATAAACATAGATTACAATTGAGTTACATTAATCTTTACACATTTGTAACAAGTCCTCTTTTTTATTATTTTAAAACAATACATGAGACTCTAAATTTTAAAAACATATTTTTTATAAAACTCATATGAATAAACTCTATAAATATAACTAATTTTATAATATAAAAAGTAATAATTTAGTCTAATCAGTAGATAATATATATTTTTTTAAATAAAATTTTATCATAAAACAATTATAGAATAGAATATTTTAAAAATATCTTAGTAATTCAAAAATATCGTTTAAATGCTAGTATATTTTTTTGTATATTAGACCTATATATAAGCTAAATTATATAAAAAAAAAATTATACAACTATAAAATTCTATTATAAAATTTAGAAAGAAGAAAATAAATAATAAATTAATTATGAATTTAATTTTTTTAGGTTAGTAGAGAAATAGAACCATATGCTTTATATATATATATATATATATATATATATACTAAAGTATTTTTATAAAAAATTTAATTATTTTATACAATGTAAAAACTTCTTTATTAAAATATAAAATAAGTCATTATAAAAATTCTATTAAATTAAATAGGTCTTTTATATCATCTCTTAGTCTCCAATAGAATTGGCTTATAAGAGCTTCTTCATTGCAATTGATATCATAAATCAATTATCTAAAATTATATGTATAAATTAATACAGAGAATGATCCTTCATGTAAAGAATAATTTTTTGTTGTCATCCATTGGACCTTATTATATTCTCCAAATGCCTCTACAAATACTTCTGAAAAAACTTCAAAATTATTCAAGATTGAAGATCTATTCTTAAATAAAGGAGTAACCAAGATAAGGCTTATCTGATAAGTAACATTCCAACCAAACTAACTTCTAACTCTTTTGTTGGATAGCACTCAAATTATAGAAAAGTTATCAATCAAATTTGATTAATAAACCTTCAAAACTTAGAGCATTGTCATGTTACATGTCTTCTTGTTTGAGAATGCACTAAGCACCCTACTATAGAAAGTAAAGTTGTATATTGCATTTATCTAAGAAACCTTAATAGGTTTCAATCATTAAGAGGAAGTAGTTTGAATTCTAATGAAAAAGGATTTAAAGCCAATGCAAAGTGCTTAAAAACACTCTTCTTAATTACTTCAAGTAAATACAAATCCTAATTGTATTATTATTTGTCTTTTTTGCAACTTCCAATTTTCTCTCCAAATCCTAATCCTAGGTAGTAAGCTTCAACTAATTATAATTCTTGATTTGATCATCCAATTAGTAAAAAAAAATTATATTAGTAAAATAAAATATTTTTATATGCTCAAAAAATTTCAATCTAATCTAACTTACGAATTATGAGAAAATACAAAAGAATGGTGTTGGTGTCTCTTGGCTACCAACTTGAAGGTTGTAATGAAGTTCGAGCAATAATTTTTCCATTTCCGACTATTAACTTTAGCTCCAAATTATTATGTAGCTTGATATGTTAGTCTACTAAAACCATCCAAAATTTCTCTTTGTTTTAATAAATAGATATTTAGATATTACAAAAATCCTATCCAACCTTAAACTACCAACTTCTGATACCTCTTTGCAGTAATAACTAAATATCTCTCAATTGCATTGTTAAAATAATAAAAAAAAAATTATACAATTAACACATCCATTCAACTACACATTAACAAAATTTGGATTATAGATGTCATATATATTTCACAAATTAGCTGATAGTACTAGCCCAAATTTTATTGCATAAATCCAAAGTCACCAATACAAACCTTGATTTTGCACAATGATTGCAAAGTCATCACAAAACCTATAAAAACAAGCTTTTTAATTTTGAAACAAGTTTAAAGCCAGTCTTTTGATTCAATTCTCTAATCTCCAAAATTTCCCTATTTTGCCTTAAGCAATTGTTTTAGTAGCTAGAGATTTGATTGCAACCCTGATCTACAAATGGTGTTGTGTTGTAACATGATTATATGGTGAAAATTTAATCAAAAATAAAATTTTAATTAATATTTAATCATCTTGGTTCAATGATAATTTAAGATATTTAAACATGGCTTTTATAAAAGCATCTTTATTTATTTTCTTATCATAATAGCTAGTAGATTAAAGGTTGGTTAGTAGTTTTTTCTTCTAGGTTGTAGAAACTCTTTTACTACCTTAAAAAGACCATAAATTGATAAAATCAGATTAAAATAGGTAAGTAATTAGCATGGTTGGTACTAAAATTAAGTTGAATATAGGATTGGGCTAAAAAACTCCTAAGATAGATTAGATTGTTACTTGGAGTCAATTGTTTGTGGGACAAGGTCAAAATCAGACTTCTAGCCACTAAAACGATTGCTTAGGGCAAAATAAGGAGGCATTTAAAGATCAAAAATTATATTTTGTGAGATAGTTTGAAGTTGATTTCAAAAATTATAAGGCTT